ATGCAGAGAAAGCATTTGACAAGATCCAACATCCATTTATGATAAAAACTCTCAATAAAATGGGTATAGAGGGAACATACCTCAACATAATAAAGGCTATATATGACAAACCCACATGCAACATCATACTTAATGGTGAAAAACTAAAATCCATCCCTCTGAGTACAGGAACAAGACAAGGGTGCCCACTTTCACCACTCCTATTCAACATAGTACTGGAGGTTTTGGCTAGAGCAATTAGGCAAGACAAAAAAAGCAGGAACCCAAATTGGAATGAAAGAAATGAAACTCTTGCTGTTTGCAGATAATGTGATGCTATATATAGAAAACCCTAAGGAATCCAACAGGAAACTATTAGAAATAATCAACAACACAGGAAAGTTGCAGGGTACAAAATCAACTCATAAAACTCAGTTGCTTTTCTCTACACTAACAATGAACAAGCAGAAAGAGAAGTCAAGAATACAATCCCATTTACAATTACAACAAAAAGAATAAAATATCTAGAAATAAATTTAACCAAAGGGGTGAAAGACCTATACACTGAAAACTATAAGACATTACTGAAAGAAATTGAAGAAGGTATAAATAAATGGAAGGTATTTCATGCTCATGAATTGGAAGAATAAACATAGTTAAAATGTCAATACTACCTAAAACAATCTACAGATTCAATGCAAACCCAGTCAGAAGCTCAAGGACATTCTTCATGGAAATAGAACAAAGAATCCTAAAATTTATATGGAACAACGAAAGACCTCAAATAGCCAAAGCAATCCGAGAAAAAAGAACAAAGCTGAGGCATCACAATCTCTGACTTCAAAACATACTACAAAGCCACGGTAATCAAAACAGCACAGGACTGGTGCAAAAACAGACACACACATCAACAGAACAGAATTGAAAGCCCAGAAATAAAACCACACGTCTACAGACAGTAATCTTCAACAAAGGACCCTAGAACACAAAATGGAGAAAGGAAAGTCTCTTCAATAAACAATGCTGGAAAAACTGGGCAGCCACATAGAAAAGAATGAAAGTAGACCATTATCTTACACCATACACTAAAATTAACTCAAAGTGGATTAAAGACTTGAATGTAAGACCTGAAACCATAAAACTTCTAGAAAAAAATATAGGCAGTACACTCTTTGACACTGGTCTTAGCAGCATCTTTTCAAATACCATGTCTACTCAGGCATGGGAAACAAAAGAAAAAATTAACAAATGGGACTACATCAGACTAGAAAGCTTCTGTAAGGCAAAGGAAACCAAGAAAAAAACAAAAAGCCCACCCAATGGGAGAAAATATTTGCAAATCGTCTATCTGACAAGGCGTTAATATCCAAAATATGTAAAGAACTTATATGACTCAATAACTAAAAACACAAACAATCCGACCAAAAAATTGGCAAAGGATATGAACACACATTTTTCCAAAGAAGATATACAGATGGCCAACAGACACATGAAAAGGTGTTCAACAACACTAATTATTAGGGAAATGCAAATCAAAATTACAATGAGATATCACCTTACACTGATCAGAATGGCTATAATTAACAAGACAAAAAGTAACTAATGTTGGAGAAGATGTGGACAAAAGGGAACCCTCATACACTGCCGGTGGAATGCAAACTGGTGCAGCCACTACGGAAAACAGTATGGAGATTTCTCAAAAGATTAAAAATAGAAATACTATATGATCCAGCTGTCCCACTACTTGGGTATTTATCCAAAGAACTTGAAATCAACAATTCAAAGAGACCTATGCACCTCTATGTTCATTGCAGCATTACTCACAATAGTCAAGACATGGAAGCAACCCAAGTGCCCATCAACTGATGAATGGATAAAGAAGATGTGGTATATATACAATGGAATACTACCTAGCCATAAAAAAGACAAAATCGTTCCATTTGCAACAATAGGCATGAACCTTGAGGGTATTATGTTAAGCAAAATAAGCCAGACAGAGAAAGACAAAGATTGCATGACTTCACTCATATGTGGAAGATAAACACATGGACAAAGAGAAGAGATTAGTGGTTCCCAGAGGGGAAAGGAGTCAAGGGGTGGGCAAAATGGGTAAAGGGGCACATACATATGGTGATGGATAAAAATCAGACTATTGGTGGTAAGCACGATTCAGTATACACGGGAACTGAGAAATAATAATGTACACCTTAAATTTCACAATGCTATAAACCATTATGACCTCAATAAAATAAAAAATAATACATAATTCATTTAAAATTGAAAAACAAGTGATCAATAAAACCATAACTTCTATTAAAAAGGCAGCAGTACCAAATCAAAGTCCTGTTCTCTGAAGGTGAAACGTTAAGTCAACCAACCAGTTGTTTAATTAGCACAACGTCAAGCGAAAATGGTTGACAAATTCCTTCTCCAAATCAGCTTCATTAATTTTCTGGCTCTGCTCATGTATGAACAAAGTCAGGATGAATTTCACAGGTCCAAGTTTACACCAAAAACTCGACTTAAGGAAACTCAGGTAAAAAAGTTATTATCTTCCTGCTTTAGAAAGCAACACTTTAAGAAGCATCTCAATGCAAAAAGTCAACTATAAGAACTCAGGAATAAAGCAGTCAGATTAAAAGGACGTCATCAAAGAACCAGTCCGGGGCCTCAAGTCAAAGCAAAAACAAATTTAATGGACCAAAAAGTCAGAACATCAAGAAAAAAGATGAATTATTAACCATATCTTCAAGTCCAAAAGAGAAGTGAATTTTACCATTCAATCACGTAAACCGCTGAAGTGGTTTCTAAAGTCTGTGTCTCCTGACAAGATCACAGGTGCCCTGGTTTTGATCATACGTCAATCAACACCTAAATGTTACTGACCCATTTCCACATATACAACAAGGTTTTCATGGTACAGACAGAAATCTCTTACTTGAAATTTAACCATTTTTAAAGTAATTCATACTCTGTATCTGATTCACCATGAAACTTGCTTGGCAACTACAAAGGCGTTTAGGCTACTAATGGTACCTGGCTCTTCTGGAATGAAAAAGATGGACAAATACGCATGCTTAAATTATTTACTTCATTTTAACTCCCAGGCAGAAAGGAACAGAAGCAGTCACAAAGATTGTGTCTGGAAATGACCCAAACGCTCTGCTTTGCCAACTTGATACTGCTTTCATCTTTGAACTTTCACCTTTGAAGACCTGGCCTTCTGTCTCCAGCAAGTCCTTCTACATTAATCCTAAATCTGGAGCAAAAGCCCCAGAGAGCACGGGCAGCAAAGACGGCTGAAGAGTGTGCCTGGATCATGACAACAGCAAGCTATTCCCAGGACACCTGGAAAGCAGCATTTGGTTGCCAACCCTGTGCATCTCTCAGACATTTTGGAGGGGAGGAAAGAAAAGGAACCGAAATCTTTTGCAAATAACATCTTCTACTCTTAGCCCTGACCTCACAAAAATCCATTTTCATCTTTGAATGGAGGAAGAGAAAAAGACACAGAAGAAGGAAAGACTGAACAGAAAAAGAGACGATAACGCAGAGAAGCGTAATACAGAACATTGGTGCAAGGTTCCAGAGTCAGAGTGACCTGGGTGTGAAACCTGGCTCTGCAGCTGAACGAGTTTAGATCTTTGTGTTGTATCTCGGCCAATCTGCTCAAGCATCATGAATCTCTGGTTCTCTCATCTGCAAAATGGGGTTAATAATACCCTCCTGGGTAGTAGTGAGGAATAAAAAAAGGTAAGTATGTAAAGCACTTAGCATGCTGCCCGCCACAGAGGAGGTGGTCCTTCGAACACAGGAGACAGAAGAGGGGAGGGGAGACAGGAGCCTTTCAGAGGAACAGTCTCAAGGCTTCAAAGAACAGTCTAAACTCACTCAGAACAAACGCCTCCTTCTCCTTATAATCAATCTGAAAATGCTTCTTGATCACCTACTATATAATTAGCACTGTGCTTCATTCAGAAACAACGTGCCCTTGCCCTCCTCCTCACTCTCAAGGTGAAGCTCTGGAGACAGAAATCACACACGTGAAATACGTTAAAAAAATAACCTAAGTGGTACTAAATCATTAAGTATGCCACATGTGGTGATGCAAGGGCTGCAGCAATTTGCAGAAGGGGCCCAGCAAGGGCTGACTTGTGGGGGAAAGTTTCAGTGGAGGTGGGTCGAGACATGAATGGACATTTAGAAGAGAGGGCATGTCAGGTGAAGAGAAGAAAATAAGCCCCAGCTCAAGTTTTGCCCCGGAAACACCAGCACATGAGCAGGGAGTTGTGGAGTGACAGAGCCTGCATTAGAGACAGGACAGGCAAAAAGCAGTAAGCGTAGGGACCATTTGAAGCAAAAATGGACAGGACTTTGGAATTGAATAAGGAAAATAAAAGACCAAGGTCTGCCTGTGTCTCTTTTGGATTTCTTGCTCCCTTCGGAGGCCTAGAGTGTTCCTTCCCACCTTCCTGGTATTTCTCAGGAGGAAGCAAAGTCATAGTCTTCTAATGGCCTTGACAGAGGCTGGCATCACCTTTCTCGATAACCAGGCTGCACAGGGCAGGGTTTACGGATGCAGCTCGGCTCGGGCCACATCCCAGCACTGCCCCTCACTAGCTGTGCGACCTCAGCAAGCAAACTACCTTTCCAGGCCTCAGTTTCCTTATCTGTAAAAGAGGGAGTAATTATGATACCCCTCTCACAGATTGTTGACAGGATCAGTGAATCAATATATTTAATAAATTCCTTGATCAAGAAGTACTTAGAACAGTGCCTGGCACATAGGAACAAATCTACAAAAGTGAGCTATTGTCATTATTACTGTTACATCCATTACCTTTCGTCTTTAGCTGGAATAGAGCCATAGAAAGCTCAGAGTCATCTCACACAAGACCAAGGAGGAGGTATCCAGGGCTAACCCATCTTGGAACTGCAAGTTTTTCCAAAATTACCGCCAACAGGGATACTCCCAATGCAAGACCCAGACAATCCATGTCACACAGGAGTTGAGCCCATACCTGGCTTGGTGAATGGCCTCCATCCACTCTTTACCGTCCTGCTCCTCCTCACAGCGCAGCTCCAGTGGTTTCTGACCTTCGTGGCCAAAAAGAACAGTAAAGTAATACTGGAGAGAAAAACAAACAAACAAAGCTTAGTTTTACTTTTTTAAGCATGATAACACAATATTTCTCTACAAAGGGTATATGTTTACAAAATGCATCAGCATTATACAAATCATATTCATATTTCAAAATGTAATACCACTCCCAGTCCAGTTGGCAATGACTTTGCACCCAGAAGATACCAGAGGGTACATGTTAACACCCCTCAATAAGAGTCATCCCACAACATCTCATCAGATACAAAAAAGGTATTTGATAAAATTCTACACAAACATATGATTAAAATTCCTTGCAAACTAGAAAGTGAAATTTACGAACCTGAGAAAGGATATCTATGAAAAATTTACTACAAACATTTTACCTAATGGTGAACAAGCAACTCCCCTAAAATAAAAAATAAGAAAAAGATGGCAATTATCATCACTTCTGTTTACCAATTCTGTCTGAAGGGCAACATAGAAAAATAAAGTAAAAAAGGCACAAGAAATGGAGAAGGAAAAAGTAATTTTTCAGAGACTACATAATTGTCTATATTAAAAATTTGTGGGGCCGACCCTTTGGCCAAGTGGTTAAGTTCGCACACTCTGCATTGGCGGCCCAGGGTTTCACCAGTTCGGATCCTGGGCGTGGACATGGCACCGCTCATCAGGCCACACTGAGGTGGCGTCTCACACAGCACAACCAGAGGCACTCACAACTAGAATACATAACTATGTACTGGAGGGCTTTGGGGAGAAAAAGAAGGAAAAAAAGACGTAACCTTGACAACAGTTGTCAGCTCAGGTGCCAATCTTTAAAAAAAAAGAATTATCAAAAAAAATTTGTTGAAAACTTATTAGAATAAGAACATGCAACAAAATTGTTGGATATAAAATCAATACACAAAAATTTATTGTACTTTGGTACAGTATCAACAAACAGAAAACTTGATTTTGAAAACAGCATTTGCAGTAGCAAAGAAATATAAATAATTTAAGAATAAACCTAAGAAAATGTTTATCACCTCTAAAAAGCAAATTAATGTATAATTTCAGGGTATTCCAACAGAAATACCAAGAGGGTTTTTTTTTTTTTTGGTGGAATTTGACAAACTGAATCTAAAATCTGAGTCAAGGACGGGAGAAGCTTTCACCTTAAACAGTCTGCCTGAGGCTGGACATATTAATTACCGAACTGAGACCGTCTGGGAAGGAAAGGTGATGGGAGAACATACTATTATATGAGGATGGTCAGAAAACACATCGCGCCTGCCCAAGACTTCATCCTGGGGCAGGAAAAGATCCAGCCCCACGAGCCGCTCCGCGAGGGGAACCGAGGACTAACGCAGAGGTCCTTCCGTTGTCCCGCCTTCCCACCCCACCCCAAGCTTCTAGGCATCAGCATGACAGTTACACACTCAAACTTAAAACTAAAAACCTTCAGGACAATAATCCTGGAGATTAGACTTTTCAGCACAATTTTACCAAAAAAGGAAAACAAATGGCCAAGAGACTTCTCAGGTTACCCGCGCCTAAATCTTCAGCCAATGGAGGGCTCCGAGTCATGCCTGTGAGATAATCCACCGCGCTTCCCCGCGGACAGGCCTGAGCCCCATAAATGACAAGCTGTCGTGAGTTCTTAAACCTCCTGTCCAGCCGGAGGACTAAATGCTATGAACATGGGGGAAATAACCTGATGAAAAGGTCACAAGAATGGGAAGAATTGAGTTTAGCCCTGTATTCAATAAAGCTCCATTTAAATTTGAGAGGAAAAGAGTCGAAACTCAATAAAATAGCAAATCAGTGGCTTAAAGGGCAATCCTCTAAGTGATGGCATTTCAGTAACTGCTGGCTGCCACCCAAGCCCAGACGCCTGGTCCAGGGAGAGGAAACATTTAACGAACCGGCTCAATCTATTGCAAGTCTGCAACCGGCACCTCAACAGCAGCTGCTGCTAGGGAACCCAATTAAAAGCCACCTTTAAAAGACAGAAAGGCAATTATATTAGCAGAGCACATTCAAAGGTTAGACCATGTCTCAGGCATAACAATGATAGAAAGAGTTTTGAGAAGTACATGTTACGTTTCCAGGAGTTTGCTTAATAAATTCAGCTGAACCACAAAAAATTAAACACTGCCTCTGCATGTACCTGCAGATTATTTGTTTTTAGCCACTCATCAAAGCTTTCTTTGTATCTTCTGGCCTCATTCTGATATGGACTTAGTGCACAATGGATCTCTGTCTCAGACCTGGGGCTTGAGGGGTCCCCTTGGGGATCAAAAGTAGCAGCAGAGACCCTAGATTACTCTGTGACCTCTCACCGGCTCCACTGTGGGAACCAGAAGGAATAGTCCCAAAGTACTGGGTTATCATGAAGTGCAAAAATTAACTGAAACGCTGATGATCTTGTTTATCTCTTTAAATTCAACATCTACAATGACAGTGAGTTTCTCTTCCTTCTCTCCCTGGATACTCTTAGCTGTTCCCAAACTATTTCTCCAGGCAGATTCTCTCCCAGGCGCCAGCCCCACATCTGTCCCATTAGACAGCATTTCAATCATGTCCAAAATGGAACCCGCTCCTTACATTCCCTCCCGCTCTCCCACCCCCTAATGCTCCTCCTCCTACCCCTTGCCCTCACAACTCTTCCCTCTCCTCCTGTCTTTTCTCTGCCAAGTGCATCTTTAACCAAGAGTTGTCCAAACTAGGAACCCAAAGTCACCCTCAACTGCTCCCTCTCGTCAGGTCCACATTTGGTTTCACCAGTGCTCCCTCCTAGGACTCTCTTCTGGCTTTTATAATCTCTCACCTAGATGACCGTAAGAGCTTTATCACGGGGTGACAGAGGCAACAGCTTTGAAATACCTTCCAATGGAAGTCCTTTTATCTTATATCTGGTCTCTCTCCCTCCTTGTATCGTTATTACAGCCCAAAGTGGGAGGTTAACGGCCCCTTCAGTAGGAGGACAGGATGACCTAGAGAAGTCTCAGTGAATTGGGAACACAGGGAGAAGTGTAGAGAGGAAAAGTGGCAAAAGTAGAAAGAGAAAGCAGAAGGCAGCAGAGACACATATGGAACAGCTTCTCCCAACTTGGGGCTAAAATCTCAGAGAAGGGTGAGTTGTTAAAAGGGTTGATGACAAAGCCAAAAGCCAAGGAGCTTCTGTACCACTTTCTCTTTGGGGATCTAGAGGATGTCATCTCACAGAATGTTCTCTTGCCCCACCCTCTACCCTCATGACAACATGGGGTGGTGACTCCATGGATGGTGACCATATCACGTAAATCAGTAAAATGAGTGTCACAGCAGTTAGGAAAGAAAGGGCCTAGGTTTCAGTTTGGCTATCCAGAGCCTCCCTGGCTTCTCAGTGGTGCGGATGCTCCCTCCCAAGTGTACTGTGGACGACTGTGGGGGGAAGGGCACTCTCAGACCTCAGGGCAGCCTATGCAGCTCCGCGAGAGCCAAGGTGGAACCACATAAGCGAAATAGATAGGCTGTGACTGACCTGAGAGAAAATGGACCACAAATTACAGCAGCCACACACTTCAGCAAGAGATGCCAACAGATGCCCACAGATGCCCAAGGCAGAGCAAGGACAACACCAGAACCCAGTGGGTACTGGCAAGGACCCCCTAACCTCTGATATGTGCACACACACACACAAAACACTATCTCAAGAATGTGTGAGCCCCCACTCACTAAGACATCATCTCAGTGAAGCGCAGAGGGAAGAACAAATTACCGAAAGAGGACTTTCACATTATTGGAGCAGACTGAGTTTACAACTCTCCACTAAATGCAGCTTCTTTTTTCTCCACTTATTAGTGGGGAGGGGGTGTTAAGGAGAAAGGTCAAATTTAGAAAAATATTTTCTTTGCACATCTAAGTGTAGTGAGGGTAAATCTGAGTCATTGCCTCCAGTCTTAGCCAACTCCCTCCAACCCAAAAATGTGGCCAGAGTCCTCTTTCTAAAAGATGAATCTGAGCTTTCATATCTGCTTACAAACACTTGTTGCTATTCTCAACCTCTGAGAGCAAATCTTATGCAGGCTGAAAACACCCTTCACAAACTGGCTCCATTCTCCATTTTTAATCTTGTTTCTGCCTGTTTTCCTCCAATGCACGACATGCTCCAGCCACATCAACCTACCACTCCCCCAAGAAGACAAGCTCTTTCCTCAGCCTCAAGCTACTCACAGCTACTCTGTGGAGTCGTCAGACCCGGGTGTAAATCCTGACTCGTCCAAGTAGTAAATCAAGTTATGAGACCTTGGGCAAGTCACATAACCTTTCTGAGACTGAGTTTCCTCCTGGGCAGAACGCGGACAATGATATAGACCTTATATGAATGAACTGTGGACACACAGTGCCTGGCATCCAGTGGCGCTTAACAAGGGTTGATTCTCTTCTCTCTCAGTGTCTCTCTTCAACTTGACATTCTTCCTCATCCCAAGCCCCTTCTCCACCTACAAATTCTTACTGAACTCTCATGACTCATGTCACTGAAATGTCAATTCCTCTAAGGCACCTTCTGGTAAAAAGGAGTCTCTCTTTCTGGGTTTCAGTAACCCCATGCACACTCTAGTCACATCGCTTTAGAGTTGTCCATGCATGTGTCCCTTCCCTGCCAGCCTTGTCTTTTTGTACCCGTGATCCTTGCACTGTGCCAGGATCACATAAAGCCCTTAATAATGTTTGGTGAATAAACAATTATCAATAAAGAAACATGAGGTGTAATTAACCTAATAAATTTCCTTCAAACAGCTACACATTAATTTTATGACTATATATTCATATCCAGGTAGGCATCCAGAGAAAGGATAAAAAAGACCCCTTAAGCTACCAAACATGTATTTTTTTCATAAGATGGGAAAACCAGAACATTACGATGATCTCACAAACTCCTAGAAGAGCAGTAAGGACAAATACCATAGGTCAGCAGACTCACCAAAGATTCTCACCTCTCACCTACAATGACCATACGATGCCAGAAACACAACATAATGAACAGATTTAGGAAATTT